AATTATTTTATCTCATAAATTCTAAAAAGTTTAATTTTTGTCAACGCTAATATTAGCTCTCCGGCGCTAGGAACAGGATTTTAAAAGTACTTATAATTTTTGTGGTACAACATACCTTAGTATACCTTAGTATGTTGTACCACAAAAATCACCTTAAGAATCCTGTTGCAGAACCGGAAAGCAAACATTAAGCGCTGACAAAAATTATCTACAAAATTGGGCTTTACTGTGTAGGCGGAAAATTCCGGTCAAGAAAACAATAAGCGGAAAATCCCGGAATTTTCGTCTGCATTGCAAAATAGAGGAGTTTTAGCTTCATAGCTTTCTAAAAATTCAGAAAATATTTTTTATGGATGGGCTAGGTCGCTTACTTTATTTTATTTATTCGTCATCTTCTTACTTTATCAAAAAGAATTTTTAAATTATTTCCTTATATTTGTACCATTTAATTCTGATTACTTTTCATATACAATTCTCGATTAAAAACACATAAACTTACTTTTTATTATCACATCAAAACCTTTCCTTTTCATTTATAGGCGCAGACTGATAACAATTTAATTATCGAGAATATATTTAAATACTTTATTTTATTAATTTTTTAAAATTAAGCGGTCTTAAAATAATTTAAAGTTTTTTCTAAAATTAATTTTTTAAATTTGTAACTAATTTCAAATCTTTCCCCTAATTTTAAAATTAATTTTAATTTATTTTTTAATTCCAATTTCCAAATTATTTTTCTACTCAAAGTTATGACATTCCTTTTTTATATTTTTTATTCTTTATTTTCTACAAACTCTAAACAATTTTCTTATCAGTCCGCCTGATGGACTTAATATTTATTTATTAAGTCCCGAGAAATATTTTTATATTTATACAAACTTCCCATTTATTAACAAACATTTTACTTTAAAAAAAGAAAATATTTGGGCATTTCAATGATATTTTCTTTTTTTAGTTTTAATTACTTTTTCCTATTTATTTATTAAAAAATGCTTTAAATTATTATTTTAGATAAGCATTATGTATTTAACAAATAAAAACATTTTAAAGAAACAAAATAATATTGGAATTGTTACTGTATTTAATAGAAAACATCATCCATTTTTAATTTATTTTAATTATTTTTTGTTATCCATTACCCTAAAAATGGTGATTTCTAGCTATAATATAAATTTTTCAATAACCCCAAATATTATTTCTTGAGAATCTGAATTACAATTTAGATGAAAATCAAACAAATTCTGATTTAAAAAAATATATTTTTAAATCCATTTTGGACAATTCCTCCAAATTTTTACAACATCCACAGTAATTCTCTCCTTTACATCCCGCCTCCTCAAAAGCATTTCCAGGATAGCATAAAAAACTTTATTATATGCGAATATCCTCCCCCTAGCTTTTATTTCTCTTTTCTCTCTTTTCTTATTCTCACATATTCCAAATATATTTTAATTTTAATAATTATTTAGTATTAAATCCCTCTCCCAAAAAATCTATTTACTTTTTTGACAATCTGAAGCTAAAAGATTTTTAATTAATTGCTCTTATAAAAATTATTCTCCAAGAATACCTAGTGAGAGTATAATTTTGGGATATTTGTAGATATAATACATTACTTAATAAAGACTTTGATTTATTTTCGTTAGCTTTATTAATTTTGGCGTTTAAAGATTTGTCTATTCAAAATTAATAAGCTACTTGTCATAGATTTTAATTAAAAGTTCTGCCATGATTCGTGGACAATACATAGTCTTGTACTCTCACAATCAGTTAATTCCAATATATCTATTCACAAATACCTCTATTGCTTTTTCAATTTTTGCTGCTGAAATCTTATATTTATTTCCTAAGCATCTTCAATAAATTATTTATCTAAATAAAAAGTAATTTTAATTAGCCAAAAGCCCTTAGTATTTTCGCATAGAAAACTTTTTTAATAAAAAAGCTAATAAATATATTTTATTAAAATAAACTTTTTTTAGTACACCATCTAAAAAACAGCTAAAAACTATTTATAAATATTTAATAAACATATTACTCATCTTTATTTCCCAATTTTTATTAACTTTATTTATAAAATATTTTAGTCGTTGAATTATACAACATTCCTTTTTTTAACTTTTCCAGTGCTGAATATTTTTTAAATTTAATTTTCTAAACTAGAATATTTTTTATTTATGTATAATTACTTTTCTCGGCTGTAGTGTAGTGTACCGGTGGTAAAAGTTCGGGACGTGACATATGTCATTCGATTCGACTCGACGAGCTGAGTCGAACGGTACCACTCCCCATTTTAGGAAATAATTCTGGACCGAGTTATAGGTCCCGGAATATCGAAAAACCAAAGGGGGGAGTAAGCTCGATTTTGGGGTGAAAAATTCGAATATGCAAATTATACCTCATTCGAAAGAGCTCCTCGAGCTGAGTCGAATGACACCGAAATCAATAAAATCCGACTTGATTTGACAAAATTATGACCGTTTGTTTTAGCTCCTTACCTATGGCATCTGTGGAGATTTTTGCTGCTACGGAGGCCCCAAATACGTCCAGAGCAAGGGAGATAGGAATAGGTTTATGTTACAAGCCCAGACCCAGCGCCCGTAGACTCCCCGCGAGGCGCGTGCCGCAAGACCCCGCGCGAAGCGCGGGGTCTTGCACAAGCGCCTCGCCGACGACCCATAGGTTTATGTTGGTAGTTTTTCTATCGTAACTTTGTCAAAACTTGTGCAATCAAGATGGTTTTGGTGTCATTCGATTCAGCTCGACGAGCTCTCTCGAATGAGCTAACATTTGTAGAATCGAATTTTTGACCCCAAAATCCCCCCTATGGTTTTTGACCATTTCGAGCCCTATATCTCGACTCAAACTTGTTCAATCAAGCTGATTTTGGTGTCATTCGACTCAGCTCGAGGAGCTCTTTCGAATGAGGTATAATTTGCATATTCGAATTTTTCACCCCAAAATCGAGCTTACTCCCCCCTATGGTTTTTCGATTTTCAGGGACCTATAACTCGGTCCAGAATCATTTCCTAAAATAGGGAGTGGTACCGTTCGACTCAGCTCGTCGAGACGAATCGAATGACATATGTCACGTCCCGAACTTTTACCACCGGTACACTACACTATATCCCTTTTCTCTAAAATTTTTTCAATTTTAAAAATAAAATATTTTTCAAAACAAGGCTATAGCGTTTTGGTCTATACGAAAAGACTTCTTTTTAAAAAATATTTAAAAATTCACTTAAACTTAAACTTTTAGTTGAAAATATTTTCGAAATCATCTTTTTTAAAAGCATATTCCCACACTTAATAGTTGCTGTTAAAATATAGAAAAGTAATCCCGACATGCTTTAGAACACAACATTTCTAAATTAAGCTACCTCTACACATAACAAAAGTTTTACCCATACACTCTGTCAGAAAATGATAAGCACCCCTAAGTTTGTACGTAAAATCTAAGGGATGCTTATCATTTTCTGAAAGGCACATACATAACTTTCAAAAATATTTTCAATTAAAAATAAAAATAATTTTTAATTATTCTCTCATATTTATTTAAACTAATTTTTCTATTAAAATTCTCATTTTAACCAGCCTTTACCCAAAAAACCAATAAAACCTCATCCTAAACCTCTCCCAAACACTAAACAATGAATGCCGCTATTATTTAGAAAATAAATGGTAAGGATTAACTCGGCATTTTTCCGATTTGCCCAGGCATTATTGCCTAGTTTGATGAACGCCTGCTAGGCAAGCTTAGGCCTTAAGGCAAGCAGGAAGAGAAAAAAGAAGGCAATCGCAAACTGGCGGATTTGCTGAACAGAAAGGCATATAAATTTTTATATTATCTACCATTTTGTTAAAAACCCCACCGACTTTTCTCTTTTAATTTTTGCGTTGTTTTGGAGCTTTTTGTGGGGAGAAGATGGCATTTGAGTAGGGGAGAAAGCTTTGCGGGCCGACTTAATCCCCTGGCGGGAAATGGCCGCTTGGCCGTGAAAGGAAGAATAATAATAAGAAAATTGAAGAAAAAGTGGAGGAAGAAGAAGAAAAGGATGGAAGAAGAAAAGTTAGGTTGGCGAGTAAAGTAAAGTGAAGGGGGGGGGAGGGATTAGGCCCGCACCAGGCTTTTGGGTCTCTTCACTTTATTTTTGTGTAAATGTTAAAGTAGGGGTATATAGAGGCGGAAAATGGCACAAAAAGGCAGGAAATGGAAAAAACTGTTTGAAGGATGCCGGAAAATATTAGCAAAATATTATGGACATTATTTAATGACAATTGGTGTTAAACAAACTAAGTAATATATTTTAAGTGGCATTTAAAGTAAAGAAAAAGTAAATAATATTGTATTCAATGTTAAAAGAAGCATAATATTGTTTATAATATTTTTTTAAATTTAAAACTGATAATAACAAAAATAAGTTAATATTTGGTTACCGTATAACCTGAATTAATTGCCCTCCCTCAAATAATTACCCCACTTCCATTAATTACCCCATCCAGCGATGGATTGAAACAATAGGTAATTACCCCCAAACAAACGCCTCAAACCTCGTATAATTACACTCCCTCGATTAATTACTCCCTCCAGCGGAAGGTTGAAACAATAATAGGGTAGTTATTAAAGGATATACCCTATAATGATTACGAATAATTTTTTATTAGGTATTAGTTTGATAGGTATTATTTCGAATAATTTTTCACTTTTAAAAATTTTGCGTGGCCAGAAAGGTGAATTAGTTTTGTGGAGGCTTTTCCAGATTTAAGACATAATACTCGATACAATTAAATAAAATTAAGGAAGATGCAGTCAATTTCACTTAAAATTCAGTCGATTTCACACAATTAATAATTCAATTGAATAATACAACTAATTGTTTTTATAAAATAATTTTTCTATAAATTTAGATATTGTAAAAATGAAAAGATATAACTAAAAAATAAAACAAAATACATATATACAACAATAAATCCGCAAAATTAAAATTTTTTTTAAAATGATTAGTAATAATAATTCAACAGAACCAACACCTTCCTCTTCTTCAAGTCAGCATATTTCATTTAAAGATTTATGTAAAAGTTTAATAAAAGAAGAAACAAATTTTGAGGAAGGTAGTGATAACAATAATAATGGATATTTAATGGATAGAGAAGGTGAGGAAATATTTTTGTTGAAAGCTAAAGACAATTAAAGACATTAATCTCGTTCAATTAAAATCACTTTAGGCTCTCCAAATTCAAAACTACAAATAAACGACAATGAACAACCACAACAACTATTTTCTCAACATCTTCCCCAATTCCCAATATCCCTATCATCAACTAACCCTTCAGCAGCAGCACTTTTCCCTTTGTCTGCAGCAAGTTTATTTAGTTTATTAGAAAATGGATTTGAAAGAACGCCAAACGGGGAGGAAGAAAACACAACGCCAATTGAAAATTTAAGTAATTCTTCCTTTGAAGTTAGAGAAAGAAATGAATCAGAATTTGTTTTTAACAACAATGAAAGTATTGAAACTGTTGTTAACAACAACTTTTCTTCCAATAATAACAGCAACATTATTAGCATAGCTAATAATGAAGATAATAATAACCCTTCTCCAAATATTTTTGGTATTCCCCAAAATTCTTTTAATGGAGCGACCCCAATTGATCAAATTTTACAAATTTCTAGACAACTTTTTGGTGAAAATATTGCTAAACAACAACAATTAAATAATAATTCTAATACTATTATGGGAAGGAAAGGGGGAAATAATGGGACTAGTAATGGAAGACAAGAGGAAAACAACACAAATACAATGACAGCTTCAGACAGGAAAAGGGTAAATTTCTTTAAAAAATGATTCTGACTTGGATTTTGATTTTCTCAGTTTTTCTCGTCTTACTTTCAATTTTATCCCCGATTTTCCCCAAGATTTCAAAACATTTTTACTTTTATTATCAAATCCAAGTCAACAAATGATTTTTTGAAAATCATTCTATTTAATTTAAATTTTTAGACATACCCTTATACATTCCAGTTTTGTGTGCTTTGTCAAAAGAATGTGCACAGCAGTGGGTTATTTTAAATAAAATCTCTCATATTACTTAATATAGAGGGCAAAGACTTATTTAACAGATAATCCAAAATAAAGGAAAAATTTATATTTTAATGATTACTTTATAAAAACTTGTAAAAAATATGCAAAAAGGCAGATAATTATTTTGTCCTTTGCCTTTCTATCTAAAATTTTTACGATTCCACTCAATCTACTTCAATTTATAGGTAAATTGCCTTGCCATATTCGTCAATGCCACGTGGGTAAACCGATGTTTCAATGTCCAGTTTGTGACTTTACTTCAACTTATTCTAAAAACAACGTCAAAAGCCATATGGTCTCTTTACATGGAATGGCTGTAATTTTTCGAGTTTTTAATTAAATAAATATTTTTTTATTTTAGGGCGACCCAATCAGTTTTATGGACGCATATGCTGGTCAAGTTGATGATTTTATGAAAAAATGCTTTCCGAATGTTCGGGGTATTTAATATATTTAAATTAATTTTACTTAAACAAAAAAAATTATTTAGGCCGTGGCCGTCCAGTCCATGGACGTTTTGGCAGTGCCAGTAATATTAGCGAGCAACCAGCACCTTCAAAAACCTGTCAAAAGAAGCAACAAGCTTTTAAACAAAATATTTTGGGAAGTCCAGGGGGAGATACTGTAGTCTCCTCTGAGGATGCTGCCAGCATTAGAGATGGTGGTGGTGGAGGAATTGTTTCTTCTCCGACAAATACAAATGAATTTTGGGCGTTAAATGATGTGAATTGGTGAGAAATAATAAATTATTTTTTGCAAGTAATTAAAAAATAATAAATAAAATTACGAATTTGCTTCCTCTTTTTTATTTGAGGTACGATATTTTTTAGTTTTTATTAGTTCCCGGCAAAATCGATTTTTCCGTACCCGGATTCCGGATTTGCAACTTGAGCCGGACCGGATCCGGGCTGTATTTTTCCGGGTTAATCCGGTCCGGTTTTTATCCGGAAATCTAAAAACTCGGATTTGGGACCCGGACTCCGAAAAATCCGGCAGGATCCGTTCCGGCGACGGCACTAGTTTTTATTTGATTATTTATCTTAAAAGCTTATTTTCTTAAAATTTGATTAAAAACTTTTTTATGAAAATTTTTAAAAATTACCCATTTAAATTTTGGTTGCTCTAAAAATATTCTTTTCTTTTTAGTCAAAATTTGGATTCTTCTCCCCCTCCAAATAACAACAGCAAAAATATTATTTCCCGTCGTCGTCAAATGTCTAATTCTGCTTTGGTTACTTCCACACAATCTAATAATAATAATAATATTCAACAAAAACAACATCAACATAATTATCGTAACCGTGTTGGTTCAAATGGGCAAAGGTGATTTTTTATTTCAAATAAATTAAAAAAGAAAAAAAATATTTCAATAATTATTTTCTTAAAAATATTTTTTTAATTTCTAGTAATAACACCAACAACAATCCAAATTCTTATTCTTCAACGTCTCGTTTATTTAATCGCCACAATAAACGCCGTTGTACTTCTCCTTCAAACCAAAAAACAACAATTTTAGTTGAACAACAACCAGCCGTTCCAACAAATTTATTTAGTAATTCTTCAACGCCTTTATTTGGAAATAATGGAGGGGGAATTGGAATTGCTGGAGGAAATGGTGGAGAGGGAGGAGGTGGAGGAATTAATCTTGGTGGAAATTTAAATATTAATAGCAATGAATTAATGGGAGCTGTTTTGGAGAAAATTACTTCAACGAATAATGGGTAAGGCGTAAAAATTAATTAATTAATTAATTGATTAATTTAAAAAATTTTCATACCCCTTCAGATTCTCCTAAAATATTTAATTTTCTCAGATTTGGATTCAATCCCTTTATTTATTTGCAACAATTAAATGGATTCTTCCCAGCATTTCAAAATAATGCAACTCCAAATATTGCTTCGTCTAATGTGCAGCATGCTATTAGAAATGCAAATGAAAATAATTGTGCTAATTTTAAGGTAAATTAGAACATAATTAAAAATCTTAACAATTTTGTTTTCTTGCTGTTTGAACTAACATGATAATTTAAGTATTTTATTCTGCCTATATTTAGTTGATCGCTCTTAAAAATACTCAAAAAAAAGATAAATAAAATTAAAAAAAATATTTTCAAATTTTATTTTTCTCCTTTCTAAAAAATAATATTTATTTATTCTTTATTTTTAGCAGAAAGATTCGAATCGAGAATCTTTTTCTCCATCTTCTATTGGAATTAATACTTCTGAAGGACCTCAAACAATGCTTTTGAAAGAATGCCTTTCAATTAGCCAAAAATTTTTGAAAGAAATTAATGACGGAGAAATGATGACAAATTCGGCTAAAAATAATTTAAATAAAAATGGACATCAAAATAATAAAAAGAAGAAAATTGGAGAGGAAGGAGGGCACATTTATGAAAATTACAATAATTTGGGAAATAACATTGCTGGTATGTAATTATTTAGGGTTTTAAAAATTTTGGAATATTTTTTTAAAATTAAATAAAAAATTTTGCTATTTGCCCTAAAATTTTTTAAGTCTACTTAAATAAAATTTATTTTTTTAAAGATAATCCAAATTGCCATTCTTCATCATCAACAACAGCTTCTCCATTACCTACAACAAATTTTCACCATTTAAATACTCTCAACAACAATTTTGACATTCATTCAGAAGAACCTCTTTATTTTCCTCAAAGTCCGGCTTTGTGTAAAATTTTGGAAGGTCCAGGATTGGAAAAAACTGTTTTCAATACTTTTACTTCTTCTAATGAACTTATTGAGGTGTGGAAATTTTTTAATTAAAATTTTGTTTTATTTGAAATTATTTACATATATTAAAAGGTTGTTCTTCGAATACTTCCCATTCTCTCTCGAAATTATCCCCGTTTTTGTGGCTACCCGTTTATACATTTTTGTCTCCCCGCCCTGCGTATGGAATTCTTATTTAGCATTAACTTTCTTACATAATTCCTGTCTGCAACTTTTATTAGTGATCTAGATTAAAAAAGATCAAATATTTTGATCTATAAAATTTACATTTTTTTATTAGAAATTTGACCTTTCAATTTTTGAAAATCTTCTCGAAAAACAATCTATCGCTTCTGGTTCTTTATTAACTCCAGAACAGAAAAATCAGGTCTCTAATGTTCGTGCTCAACTTGGATTACAATCTTTTGAAGTTATGTTTGCTGTTCATAGGTAAATTTACTAGAATATTAAAGAATTCTTTTTTTTTTAGACTTGATTCAAATATTCTCAAACCTGCCCAAGTCCATTTAGTTGAATGTATTGCTCCAACTAAGGCTGATATTCGTCGTTTTGCTTTATTTGAACAACAACATTCTAATAATAATAATTCTGGAAATATTTTGTTTGATAAAGATGAACAATTTGTTATTGAGGTAAAGACACTTGTTGGATTAATTTGAATAATTTTTTGTTAAAAATTTATTAAAAAAATTTTTTCTTATTATTTAATTTTTTGTTAATTTTTAGTTATCCAAAATTGAACGTTTACGTGAGAAACTTGCTGTAATGGCTTTTGTTGGTGAATTTAATGAACGATTGGCACAATTAAATAAAGTAAATTTATTATTTCGATTTTTCAAAATTAAAAAAATTTTTTCCTTTTTTTCAGCAAATTCAATGTCTTTCTTCAGCAGCTACTTTACTTTATAATTCACCTCATTTCCACATGCTTTTACATTTATTATTAATTGCAATTAATTTATTAAGTGGTGATTTTACTATTAAATTAATTAAAGCATTTCGTCCATCTAAATTGCAATCAATTTGTTCTTTTAATTTTCCAAATGGATTTTCGTTATTACAAATTCTTGCAAAAATTGTTGAAAAATATTATCCTGAATTGGCTAATTTTGTTTGCAACGAAAAGAGTTTGGTTATTGGAGAGGCTGCTAAAGGTGAATTTTTATGTCTTTAAATTCTAAAAAAATATTCTTTAGCTGATATGTGGATTTTTTAGTTTATAAAGGAGTTGTTATTTTTTTAAATAAATTTGAAAGAAATTTTTAATTATTATTTTCTTTTCAAGTCAATTTTGCTTGTATTTCCAAAGAATTACATTCGTTAGAACGTGGACAATCACTTGTTGAAGAAGAATTAATTTATCTTACAGAAGAAACAGCTACTAATAATGGGTGTGGAAAAAGTCAACAGCAACAACAACTAGCTGCTTTTTCTGCTCATTTAACCACAGAAATTGTTCATTTAAAAGAGTCTATGCAAAGCTTAAAGGTATGCAAAGCTTGTTATTATTTGAGATTTTTTTAATTTTGAGAAATTAATTTTAAAAGTCGGATAAATATTTTTCCAATAAATATATTAATAGATTAACATCCCTTTGGTACTTTGAAATATTCAGAATTTTTTAATCCTCTCTTAATTTTGAATGAAAATGTCTTTCTGAATTATATTAATTTACTATTATTTTTTAAATATATTTTTTAATTATGTAAATTTTAGAGTCAATTAATTAATACATTAAACTTTTTTGGCGAAATTGAAGAGGAACAAGATTATGAAGACAATAATAATTATTCTAATAATAATTTCCAAAAATTATTCCATCCTGAACGTTTCTTTGAAGTTATTGCTAATTTTTTGGGTGATTTAAATGAAGAATTGAGAAATCATTAAATGGTCAATAATGAATATATTTTTGTGATTATTTTAAATTTATTTGCAATTTATTTTTTTCTGATTTCATTCCTCTCTCTCTTGCAATTTTCAAATATTAATTTTCGTGCAATTTAATCTATTTTATTTAAAATTTAATTTCCCCTAAAACCTCTAATATATTTTAATTATTGCACTATTATTGTCTTTAAATTAAGCACACACACATTCCACTAAATATATTTTATTTTGATTTATTTTTTGTCGTTGAGATTCAACTTTGGGCATTTATTTGAAAATAAAGATTTGGTATTTTTTAAATTAAATTTTGATATTGTAAATTTATTTTTGGTTATTAACTTTTCTGTCATTCATAGTCGGTTATCAGAAAATTAAATAATGTTTTTATTCATTTTATTAATGAAAGCACTAAAAATTAATCAAAAAGTGATTATTAAAAGTAATAAAAAAGCATTTTTAATCAAAATTTTATTTTTTTGCCAACATTTTTAAATTTATCCAAACAATTGAACTCGATTATTTTCTCTGTCAGCAATTGCCAACAAAATTTCCTCATTATTTTCATCATTCTGTAAACAACAAATACCCTCAACCCCTTTAAATTGCCCTGGAGAAGGCCCCCAACTCCCAAACTTTTTTATAATTTTATGTCCTCCTGAATATTTAGAGTAAATTTGTACACGACTGTTTCCACTGTCAGCAACTAGAAGGTGGCCACTCTATTAAATAAAAAATTATTTTTATGTTTTAAATCTGTTAAAGATTATGTGTATTATTCGGAATTATTAAATAATACAAGGAAAAAATAAAATATCAAAACTTCTTACCTTATCTAAAGCAATCCCTCTTGGCAATTTTAACTGTTCAGCATCATCTTCACTCCCTTGAAATTGAAAGACAGGTAATCCATCTGGAGAATAAATACATAGTCTATTGTTGGCAGAATCTGATACGTAAAGAAGGCGTTGATTCGGATCAAACATTAAATATAGGGCTAAAAAACTAATTTAGTTATAAATTAATTCAAAAATCCTTTTTCCAGTTAAAACTAATTTGACTTTTATAAGTCACGCGAAGAGACTTCGCGTTTATATGGGATTTCGACTTAGGGTAGGTTAGTAATCTAAGTCACGCGAAGAGACTTCGCGTTTGTATGGGATTTCGACTTAGGGTAGGTTAGTAATCTAAGTCACGCGAAGAGACTTCGCTTTTGTATGGGATTTGGATATAGCTTTATTTTCTTTTGTAAAGTTTTTGCAACGTTTATAATTTTAATAAAAAAAATTACTAACGATGATCTAATTGTTTAGAGCCATCGCCCTCAGACCCAAAACGTGAAAGGAATGTTCCGTCCTCATTAAACATTTGTACACGATGATTATCCTTATCTGCCACATACACAACACCTAAACGTTCATCAATTGCAATACCCCAACAATGTTGAAATTGTGAGGGTCCAGAACCTCTAACTCCAAATTTTCGAAGAAAACTTTAAAAATAAAAATGTTTTTTTAAATTTAATTATGAATTTCTCTACCGGCCTTTGAGGTCAAAAACTTGAACTCTAAAAATTAATTTACAAATAAACATTCTTAAATATGTACCTATGGTTATAGCGATCTGCAACAAAAAGTTCCTTACGTTTGTGATGAACACAGACTGAACAACAACCTTTAATAGAATATTAAAATTGGATTTATTAAAAAATGCAGTTAAAAAAATGTCAGCTCTCACTATCTCAATATCCATTAAAGACATTTTTATTCATGTCATTTCCGTCTATAGTCAAAAGTAAATTTTACCATCAAATTGCCCATCTTCCTTCCCAAAACTTCCAAATGAACGTATCAAAAGTCCATCAGTAGAACTAAAAAGCTGAATTCGATGATTACTGCTATCAGCTACAGCCAGAATTGTTCCAAAATCATCCTCTTCCTCAAAAAGTTCCCTTGGGACAGCACACAAACCTCTAGGCCAATTTAACCTTTTAAAATTATTTTTATTTTTTTAATATTCAGAAAAAACAAACAATCCTAAAGCTCCTCTTCCGCCTAAAATTAATTTCGGTCTAGGCCTTAAACGTGTATAAAAATCTTCTTCTTCATTAACGTTTTTGTTTATTTTATTTTTGTTCTCCAAATTCCTGTTTTCAGAATTATCAAAACGAGATTGCTAAAATAATTAATTAATTTTTTCAAAACAAGTTTTTTACTCTTAATTGAGTGTTTCCCAAAAGTTCAGCTTTTTTTGAAAGAGAAATAAATTTTGGTGCAATTCCATTACTAAATAATTGTGGATTTGATCGAGAACGGCTTAAAAGAAGTCCACAACGTTGTTGCTCCGATATCCATTCTCCTGTGCTTTTTGTTGGGAAGAAAGCCAACAAATTAAGGAAAGAATAAGTAAATTATTTTGATAAATTTTTATTTTAAAATTTTGGAAAGAAAATTAAAATTTCATTTAAAAAATATCAAAATTTCCTATTAAATATATCAGACTTCCACAAAACCTTAAATTAATAGACTACTAGGTTTGATTTCAAAACAGACTTGCCAAAAATCAGAATTTCTCAAAAAATATCCAGTAAAATTATAATTCACAACAATATTAGACACAAATACATATATCAAAATTTTAAATAAACAAATTGGATTTTTATTAAAACATTATCATACTCCTAACAAAATCTCAACTCTAAAAGTTCAGAATTTTGTTAACTTTGTATTTAATAAATCTTTTAAATTTTAACAAACAACCAACCACAGGAATAGACTGTCCACCTTCTTCAATAGATGGACGACGAGTTTGGGAGGATGCTGGTCTTCCATGGGATGAAGAACGGCAATGTATTCTTCCTCCCTTTAATTTTTTGCAAACGAGTTTTTAAATAAAATTTCCTTAATTTTTTATCGTTTTATTTATTTTTAACAAACAAACAAAAATTCAATCCTTTATTTATTCAAAAATTTAATAATACAAAAATACGAAAATTTGGATTTCTTATTTTACAAACAAATTTAAACATTTCCAAAAAAATATTTGCAAAAATTAATAAAAAAAATTTTTTATTCATTTTTAATTATTTTCTCAAAAATAATAACGGGGAAAAAGAATTATTTTTGTTTGTTTGTCATATAAAAATATAAACGATATTTACAATTTGTTTGTATAATAAGTTTAGTTTTAAAAGTTCACTGGGTAAAGAATAAAGAAGAAATAAACAAAAACATCGTAAAATCTCTAATCTTTGGAAGGTTATTGAAAAATAGAATGTCCGGGCATTAGAGATTTTCCTATTATATACCGTATATGCTCTATTAATTACCCTCCCTCAAATAATTACCCAACCTCTATTATTTATCCTCCAGTGAAAGGTTGAAACAATAATTACCCCTTAAAAATAGTCATGATTAGCCTTCCTAAAATAACCTCTATTAATTACCCCGCCTCTATTAATTACCCTCTCGAGAGAGAGGTAGAAACAATAATTACCCAGAGTAATTAATAGAGTATAAACAGTATTTATTAACCGGGCAAATTAAAATACTATAGGAAAAAAGAAATTTTAGAAAAAATCACCGAATTATTTAAACTAAACTGGGATTAAAAAATAAACTCATTAATTATTTACTTGCCTTTTGTTGTTTTTTGTTTTCATTACTTTTTAAATTTTGTTGTTGTTCATCTTCCGATTTTTCTAATGAATTTTTTCTGCTATTATTGGAAGCTTTTTTATTTCCTTTTGAAGATTCTTCATTAGATATTTGACGTTGTGTTGTTGGAAGTGGAGGCTTTTGGGATGTTTTTTTCTGTTGTTGTTGTTGAATGATTGGAGTTGTTAATGTTCCTCCTCCACTTATTCTTCTCTAAATAATTTTTGAGGGAATTTAAAATTAAAAAACAAAATTTATTTTTACCCCTCCTCCACTTGTATTCTGCCCTTGACCAGTCGCTATTGCAGTTCCATCACTTATATTACTGTTACTACCTCCACGACTTGGACCAGTTACCATTAAAAGACGTCCTCTAGAACCAGAGACATTCGTAGCAGAATTTCCAGATTTATTTGTTGTGCTTGTTGTTAGAGCTGGAATACCGCTTTTTTGTATTTGTTGAGTTTGGGGTTTTTGTTGGGATTGTTTAGGGGATGTTTTGGAATCATCCAAAATTGTTGTAGGAGATAAAGCATTTTTTGGAGAATTGTTGGTGGATGGAGAATTTATCAAATTATTATCAACAATTTCTCCCTTTTCCGTCACTTTATTAGATATTGGAGATAAAATTGTGTTTTTTGTGTTTGTCGGGGTTGTTTGCGAAACTGGCGATTTTGAAGGTATTCCAACACCCTTCCCTATATTTGTATCAATCTGAAGTTGAGGCATCGGGGATGCTCTATTAGATGTTGGGTGGGAAGTATTGGACGACCAGGGAGGTGGAGGTGTTAATCCATCAGCGTGAAGACGACTCCAAGCCTTTAGAAAGGTTTACATTTAGTTAACAAAATTAATTGTTTTTACCTCATCCTCCAATTCTTTCCTCCTTCTCCAACGCGTTGCCCCAGCATTTTCGACTTCTAAATTAGGTATCTTTTTCTACCCTATAACTTAATTTACTACCTTCTCCTCCCCCTCTTAGTTGTTTTTGGAACCGCATAAAATTATCTGATTCAAGCCCCATTCGAAATGGCCTAGGCAAATATTGTTGTTCTAATGGGAGATAACGATTTGCGAATTGTGGTAGAGAAACTGAGAGCTAAAAAATTATTATTTTTTAAATCAAATATTTATTTTAAACTTCGCCAAAATTAGCAATTGCTGTGGGTAACTTTGCAGCATCATCCCCAGGTGAGAATCGCAACTTTTTTGCAAATAATTCATCAGAATCTGGTTGAAATGAACGAAGATAATCAAGTCCTTGTTGAAATTCTAACTAAAAATATTTTTTAAAATTATTTCTAAATAAACATTTCAAACACCTTAAATCGTGCCAATTCATCATCCCGAGCCGTTCGTTGACCATTTAAAACAGAATCCACCCAAAGACAAGCATCTTGTAAATTATTCCATTCCACATCTAAAGCATCACGCAATGTTCTTAACAATCTTTCTTCGTTCTGGATAAATACATCTGCCTTAAAAATATTTAATTGGTTCAAGCTTTATGAACAAGCTTTGATCAATAACCTGTTCAATAAAATTTTCTTCTCTAATTTTCAATTCTCGCTGATATCTATTAAAGTATTCACGGATTTCTTGTTTAGTTTGTTCCCCATTTGCTAACATATGTTCAAGACCTCGACCTAATCCAGAACTAGCTTCGCGAACACGCGTGGAAAGACGCCGAACCTTTTAAATTTAATTATAATATTTCACAATTGGATACTAAAAAAGTACTTGTCCTAAAAGTCTACTCAAATCACGTTTAAGCATATCCAAATGAGAGGTTCTACACTCAGAACAGCATTTACGTTCACAATGAACACAAAGCTCTAATTCCGCCTTTTCCTCACAAACTCGGCATCTTTCCATATTGAAACTAGAAATTAATAACTTAAAAAGTTAGGTTTCAATATATTCAACCGTTGAACATAAGCCTGCATTTCTTCGGCATTAGCTGCACTCGCTTCCATATGAATTTCAAGGAATGAAAGCAATGTAAGATTTGTTTGTAGCGACTGAACACCCCCATCCAAAGACAATGAATGTTCATTACGGCATTCTGGACATCGAAGACGAGGTCTGCCTCCAGTAGATTCAACATAACTTTCTAAACAAGATAAACAGAATGTGTGCTGACATGGCAGAAGTTTTGGTTGTTTATACCTGAGAGAGAGAATTAAAATTAATTTAATCTTGTAAGGAAGGTAAAAATATTTTTAAATTTTATTTTAACCGGTCAAGACATATTGGACAAGTCAAAAGACGTTCAATCTGTTCGAGTGGATTTGTACATGGCTCCTTAACTGTGCTGACATTTAAAGGTGACTTTTCGCCCTCAACGGCTACAGGAATTTCTTCCATATAATAAATAAACAGATATTTTTAATTTTTTGTTAGCAAACTTTTACAAATATTTTCATTTGAATTTTATTTTATTTTCTCATTTACGAGAAGTAACTGAAATACAATTTAATAGATTCAAATAAAAAATTGATTAATACAGTCCCACGTCATTATAACCTTACCCTAAATTTTAGTGTTTCTTGATTTCTATTGCATCAAACGGGCTATTTCTATTTAATTTTAATTACGACAGGTAACATTGAAGAAAGGAATTGAAGAAAGGAGATCTCTCAATGAAGAAAAAAATCTTTTCTATAAAAAATTTTAAAATGAAAATCTTTTCGATTTTTATTATTAATTACTATTATTAAATATTTTATTATTATTATTCATATAATTTTTACTATTAATTAACTGTCGTAATTAATATTAAATAAAAGTCACCTCGGTTGATGTGATAGAAATCAAGAAACACGAAAATTTACTGTGAGGTTATAATTATGTAGAGTCAAAAATTTACATACTTACATATTCTAAAATTACATACTTACATATTCTAATATAACTCCAATTAGAAGACTTATATTTGGAGTTACCGTATTTTTCCCAATAGAAGCGCATGCGCTTCTATTTTTCAACCTCCTCGTAGACTGCGCTTCTATTGGAACGTGCGCTTCAAATGGGACGTGCGCTTTTATTTTTCAACTCCTATGCGAATTAATTTTTATAACATAATAGAAATTTAAAACATATATTAAATCTCTATAGAATTATCAATTTCAATTCCGTTTTCATAAACTTCATTAAGATCAATTTCTGCCAAACATTCTGAAATACTTTCAGAATGTTTGGCAGAAATTACTTTCAAACCATCTGGCCTAAAACTATTTATTTCATCATCTTCGGAACATCACTTTTACATAATTCCAATTCCACACCCCAAAAGCTTTTTGCAACATTTTCTTTTGAAATTACATCTCATGCTTCAACTATCCATCCCAAATAAAATTTCATTGGTGGTGGACCCAAATAAGCAAGCGTTGCAAGAACTATGATTACCCAACACTGGAATCCCTTGGCGAGGGGATTCCAGTCCATCCCCTAGTCAAGATGGAAATAAGTTTTTCCCCAATTATAACTCAAAACCCTAAATTTTTAGACAAGAGAGGGATCAGGTCTTTTAAATGAAAGTAGTACAAAGGGAAGATTGAAAAATTTATCGATAGAATAAGGTTGCATTTTCGGGGGAGGGGTGTAAATTCTTTATCTAAATGTAAATGAATAATACTTATTTAAAATAGTAACTATGTAACAGAGTAATTGCTTAAATAAAAATTTCATAAGGTGCGCTTCTAATAGGACATGCGCTTCTAATGGGACCTGCGCTTGTATTTTTCAACCTCCTCGTAGACTGCGCTTCTATTAGGACGTGCGCTTCAAATGGGACGTGCGCTTCTATTGGGAAAAATACGGTATTTATATTATAACAAAATAATAAAACTATGTAAAACTATGGCTAACTTTTAAATTAAGATTCATAAAAAAATTAATTTACCAATAAAATTTTTAACGTTTTTATATTTTAAGAATAAATCTCGTAAAATGAGGAAAATAAAAGAAAAAGTGATTACTAATAAATAAATGTGTAGTTCTTCTCTAGTTTAAAGTCAAAGCACACAAAAGTTAGCTAGATAAAATAAAACTAAAATAAATATCGAGGTCTTTTACTCAAATAATAAATTTGTAAAATTGTGATTATTTAATTTTGATTATTTATTTAATTATTAATTTAAATAAAATTGAGGAATTCAACAATATTAATTTCATAATTACTCATTTTAATAATATGTAATTACATTTTATATATCTGTGTTTGACTTGGTTAATCAGAGTTCCTTATTTTTACTTAAATTATTTCTGAAACAAATTTTAGATTTAATATCAGTGAAAAGACTTTAAAAATTTATATTTTTAGCCATCTTCTATTAAATCAGAAGATTATTATCATTTTTCTAGCCATTCAAACCTCGTATTTCTCGAATTTTCTTTTCAGCCTCGTGTCAAAAAAACTAAAAAATTCTAAACAAAAGAAAAAGACAGCTGCTGTTTCAGGCCGCGTTAAAGCTTTATTTTACTAAGTAAAAATTGTGATTTGAGGAGATTTGTTTGTCCTCACATAAATATATTGAATATTTATTTTTATTCATTTGTTTCACTCTCCCTCCCCTCTACGTCATCATTTATTTCTTCATTATCCTCTCTAAATTCTCTCCTTTATCCAAAATCTCTTTCTTTTATCTCTTACTAATCCAAAAAATTATATAAAAGATTTTGATGATTATTTAGTGTTGAACTTACACACGTACGGCTCAAGATTTGATCAATCATGAGGTAAGTGAGAGAGAGAAAAAGTAGACAAATAAATATTAGTTAATTTTATGAAGAAAAGGATTGTATAAATAATAATAAGAGGAAATCATTACAAAAATAAAAAAATTTTAAAATAATAGAAAGGATTTAATAGCCAAATTAATAAAAATCAAAGCGTTTTTGTTCAATGTAAAATACTAAATAGAGTATTTATGAAATCTCATTTCTATAGAATTGTTTTTAAATAATCGTTTGTTGCCTCATAACAATAATATTTAATTCTTGTTAATTTCTTTTCTTTTAAACTGAAACTAAAGTAGTTACACTTTGTGATGGAAATGAATATGTAAATGATCCTCCTGTTACTTTTATGTTATTTTGTTGTTGGAAATTTTTGCCTTGAGAAGTAATATATGAACTAAATGAAGATAGTAATGTTCCACCATTAATTGAAAATTGTTGTGATATAGGCGAGGATCCTATATTTATTGCTACAATTACTACCTTTAAAAAATAATTAAAAATATTTTTAAAAATAACAGAGAAAGCTTCAGTCTAGTAACCTCATCGTATCCAATAACACAACTAATAAATTATTTTACATTTAATTAAGTCTATATAATTAATAATTAAATAGTAATAATTAAAAGAAATCCTTAGTAGGTATTGAAGGATTCGATTAAATTAACTAATAACCTTTCCATTCCCTGTGTATGCACTCACAAGCAAATTATTATTATTAGAACTGACTGAATTAACTCTAAAGTATCCTGGTCTAATAAATTTTGCAAAATGCCCAATAACAAAAGCTTTAGGCGTTAATTGCATATTTTGAAATAAAAGCATCATATTTGAGGAAGGATTTGGATTTGTATCTCTTAACCACCAATGAATATAGGCATTAAATTCAGCCTTTGCCATACAATTGTGAATATCTTCGGCTGTTTTCATAACACTATTAAAGTCATTTCCATCAATTGAATGTTCGGTCATCCAAAATTGCTTTTCAGATTTTTTTACTAAAGGTTGGGGTTTCATAGAAAATCCATATGCATGAATTGCATCAATATCAACTACGGCAGCTGATTGAGGGTCGTTCTTTAATTAAATTTTTTATTGAAATACTTATTTTTATTTTAGCTCAAATAATTTAAATGTTAAATTCAGAGGTAATTATTAAATGTATTATTTATTACAGATGTACAGTTAAGTAGTAAAAATAATTATTTGGGTTTTATTATTAACAATAATTCCTTAACTTAAAATAAACCTACCAAAATTGCATCATTCATATCTGTTTTATATCCATAAGTTTCGGGTGCCATAATCTTTATATTGCCTCCCGATTTAATTCTTTGCGCAAAATTTTTTAAAAAATTTTTCATTTGATCTGTTGTAAAACTCATTGTATTATAAGTTACTTGTAAAGCAAAATCAGGTTCATTAATTATCGAAATTGCATAAAGAGAAACACCATTATTTTTGAAATAATCAACGAAACTTTTTAAATAATCGGCATAATTGCTATATTGGTTAGAACTGAGAGAGCCTGGTTTGTCTTCTTGTTTATTTTCTTTCATATTAGCTGGGGCAGACCAAGGAGAGGCAAATACTTTGGCATTAAATTTTAATGCTTTTTTGGCATTTGATAATTCATCATTCCATCGTTTATGTTCGTCGATTCGAATACGAAGGATTGAATAACCAAGAGTTCCAAATCTATAAATTCAAACAAATTTATGTATCTAAATATTCCTGCAAGTATTTATAAAATTATTAATAAATAATTATTTATATATTCGAATTTTATATATATTAAATAAAAATTTCTTTGAATGTTAAGCATTTCTAGAGTCTTTCAGACACTCAGATTATTTAAATAAATAAAAAATCCCTTACAGTTCATTCATTATCTGATCGGAAACTGCTCCTTGCCAAGCTGTAGATGCACCAAACCCGTCAATAACTTGGTGTTTTTCATTAAGATTAATAATGACATTTCCATTATTACGGTCAAATTGCGAAGAAAAAATTATCAAAAAAATAATTAAAAATATTAAATTTTTCATTTTTTAAATTTTGTTTTCTAATAAATAAATGGGAAAGTTTAAATAAAAATTAATTAAATATAACTAAATAAAATTATTATTTATATTAAATTTAAATATCAAAGATTACATTAATCTTTGAGAGTTATAAAAAACTTAATAAATGTTGTACCCTTTTTAAAAAATAAATAAACGTGTTATATTTTTTCAAATAAAAAATTTATTGATGTACATTATTTATTCCCCTAATATTTTATTTACTCACGGCAAAATCAACCATAGGCGCGTGTGTCTATAAAATACTAATCACCTGGGTATTTTAAAATATCTTCATTAAAGTTATTTAACACATTACAATTTTACAAATTAATAATTGAATATTCTGGTTGTTCTGTACAAATGCCCATTTTTATTTAAAAATTATTCTAAATATTTGATATATCATTTAACTCAAAAATTAATCGAGTAATCGAGTTTTTGGACTTTTCTACATAATATACTTTGGAAAAAATTATTCTAATACAAATCTGGTCTCAAGTAAGTTGATAAATTGTATAAAAATTAATAATAAATTTATAAAATAATTAATAATAAATATTAGAATAAATTTATTTGAAAATTTATAATTTCTTAACAAACTACATATGTATGTACATAATTTTTTTAAATTAATGAATTAAATTTAAAAAAATATAATCTATGAACCTTAATGGTTTTTAATATTTTTTTAAAAATATTGAATCTAAATTATAGCTACATGAAATTTATTTTTATTTAAAAAATAAAAAAAAATTTAACTGGCAAAGTTAATATTTTGGTAAGTTAGGTAGCAGGGGGGTTATATTTAACAGGGGTTATCAAAATGCGAAAGGCCGAATATGGAAGTCGAGATGGCACACCCCGGATTTGTATGTAATACATACTGAAAGTCTTCCGAGAATATTAAGAGAAAAAAGTTATCAAGAAAAAAGAAATGCTTAGATTTTTAGAATAAAATTTTTTTATTCTTTTTCTATTTCTTATTTAAGTTTTTAAAATTATTTAAATAAAAAAATATTCAATCTTTTTTAATTAAATTATTTTTTAGACAGAAATTATTGCCTTTTATGTATAATTTAAACAAACATTTAATATTAAAAAGTGCATACAATTATTAATAAAAAAATTTATTATAGTTCAATTTTTAATTTAAATAAAAAAGATAAATTATTTCCCAATTTTTCATTGTCAAGCTAATTAAATGAAATAATTGTTTAATAATAAAGGCTTTTTCGAAACGAGACAAAATTCAAACTTTTTTTCTAAACTTTTTCTTTTTTTCTGTACTCTTTATTTTAAAAAGTACATTTTTTAATTTTAATTATTTTTTTTCTAATATAAAATAAATTTTTGTTAAAAATTAATCTTTAAATTAATAAAAATTAAATAATTTTTTACCTTTAACAGCCAAGGTAATCCAAGCTTTTTTAATCGAAGAAAATAAAAATATTTAAAAAATTATTTTTTTAACAAACTTATATTTTTTTTCTTCAGATAATTAATGAACATAAATGTATTAAATTTAAAAAATATAAAATTTATTTATTTAAATAACATTTTGAGCTATTTAATATTTTTATTTAATTAAATTATTAAACCTTGCAATAATTTTAATAGATTTAGGTTAGGTTAGTAATCCAAGTCATTCGAATTGACTATGTAATCTTCTCAATTAAAAAGCTTGTATTACCCTGTCAGCTAGCGAAAAAACTAATTTAACTTAAATAAAACATTTTAACAAATTAATAAAATAAACATTTTTTATGATAAAAATACTTTTGTGTTTAATAATAATTTCAACATAAATATTAGTAATTTTACTAAAAAATCTTGACTTAAAAAATTAGGTTAAAAATTTTAAAATTTAATAGGAAAATTAATAAATCAAAAAATACTATTAAAAACCAAATTGAATTTATTAAGTTGTATGGGTGAACCATAAAGAGTGTAACGGATTCCTGTTCCCGTTTCAATAACTACGAAAATCTTTTTATGAATAAATATTCTTTCGGAAATACTATTATGCTAACGAATCCGGATCAGGTACACTAGCAAAATTAAAAAAATATAAAATAGATTTAATTTTATTATGAAGAATGTTAATTTATATTTATCATTTTATTATCATTTTAAATCAAATTGTATTCTCTTGTATTTCTTCCTTCAGATAATTAATGCCCCTAAATTTTATTAAATTAAAAAAATGGAATAATTATTCTAATTAAATAATTATTAAGATAATTTAATATGTTCATTTATTTAATTAAAATGATTACCTTGCAAGCTTTCAAGCATAACTTTTCACTATTGAAACGATTATTATTGCCACCACATCCTTTGTATTGGAATGACTTTAAAAATATTTTTTATTAAATTAAATTTAAATTTATTTTTACCTTACAAACTTTCTCTTTAGCTACATACCACCAACGAGTACCCCCTGCATGTCCACAAAATATTCCAACTTCTTTAGGTTCAAGACAACGCTAAAATAATTTTATTATAATTATTTACCCAATATTCGGGGTTTTTCTTAAATTAATTCGTGTAGGAGGTTTCCAAATTATAACACAGGGTTCGAACATTAATTATTTTTAAATTAAATATTTATTTATTTACATCATTTTTTGGAAATTTTTTAGAAGTAGTTAAATTAATTAGAATGGTTAATACAATTAATACAATTACGAATTTTGACATTTTATTTAAATAGAAATTAATTTTAATTTTTAAGTTAATATTTAATTATTTAAATTTAAAATGCTTATATATAGTATTCAATATTAGTTAATAAAAATAAATAAACAAGGAATTAAATAATGATTTTTAAATTTTTCTATTAAAAAATAACATTTTTTATTAATTAAAAAACAATTAAAAATATTTTATTTAACTAAATATACATTGTTTTTGACTTTTTTGATAATATAAAGTTTAACTTCCTATAATAAAATATTAGTAATTATTTGTTTAAAAAATTTAATATAATAAACTTATTTTTTATGAATTTATTTTAATTTATATATAAACAATTTAAATTTAAATATTTCTAACATTAACTTAAACATTAAAAATTCTAATTAATTCTACTATTTAAATAAAATGTCAAAATTCCTAATTTTCTTAATTGTATTAACTACCTTAATTAATTTAAGTGAATGTAAAGTAGATGTAAATAAATAAATATATTTAAATTAATTTAAAAATTAATTCATATTTTTAGCGTTGTCGCCAACCTAAAGCTGAGGGAAATAATTGTGGAGGTACTCGTTGGTGGTATGTAGCTAAAGAGAAAGCTTGTAAGGTAAAAATAAATTTAAATAATTCTTAAACAAAATTTATTTTTAAAGTCATTCCAATACAAAGGATGTGGGGGAAATCAGAACAATTTTAATTCCAAAGCTAGTTGTCAGAAGTCTTGCAAAGTAATTAATTAAATATGGTCATAAAATGTATAATTAATTAAATTTAGGGGCATTAATTATATGAAGGATGATATATGTACAAGAATATGATAATAAAATAATATATAAATTAACTTGATAAATATATTTTTTAAAAATAAAACAAAATTTATTTTAGGGTTTTTAAACTTTGTAAATAGCTATTCAATTTCTTCTTATTTAAAAAGCTTGCATTACCCTGCCAGCTAGCGAAAAGACAAACTTAACATAAAGAAATCTTCGGGGTTCGGTATCGGGGGTTTCGAGGGTCGTGTTGCTACCCAATTTTGAATTAATAATCCAAAAAGGATTCTAATTTATAAAATTTATGTTTATAGAATAGGTAATATGTATGATAGTAAAGAATTGTTAAGGTGTAAAAATTAAAGAGTTATTTCTTTAATAAAATTCAGATTTGAAGAATTTACGAAAATAAAAAAATGTAAAATAAAAGAAAGAATTTAATAGCCAAATTAATTAAATAAAATCTTCGTTCTAAAATCCATTTTTAATAAAATCATCTTTAAATAATTATTTATTGCCCCATAATATTAATATTTTTCTTTTAAACTGAAACTAAAGTAGTTACACTTTGTGATGGAAATGAATATGTAAATGATCCTTCTTCCGTTACGTTAATGTTATTTTGTTGTTGAAAATTTTTGCCTTGAGAAGTAATATATGAACTGAATGAAAATGCTAATGTTCCCCCATTAATTGAAAATTGTTCTGAGATAGGCGAGGATCCCATATTTATTGCTACAATTACTACCTTTAAAAATAATTAAAAATATTTTTAAAAATAACTGATAAATCTTAGTTTAGTGTACCCTCCTATCCAATAACACAACTAATAAATTCTTTTATATTTAATTAAGACTATACTTATATGATATTAATTAACTAGATAATAATTTAAAAAATACGAATAGTTTTTCGAAAAATTATAACTAATACACAACTAAATTAATTAATTAATTACCTTTCCATTCCCTGTGTATGCACTCACAAGCAAATTATTATTAGAACTGACAGAATTAACTCGAAAAT